TATGATGTATGTCTAAAAATTAGGTTTCGTTTCTCTAGTTGTTTGTCTAGGGCTCAACTAATTAATTTTTTCAACTCTTGATTTTTATGACTTTTTAAGATGTAGGAAAAAATTATAGTTTTTAAAGATTTGTGTAGGTATAAAATCTATATTCTATTTTAGAAAGAAATAAAAACTTGTTTTAAACTGGATCAGGGATTTATTTTGTTATGTGTATGTCGTATCTATATTTTTAATAGGAATAATTTTTCGTGCAATTGAAAGTTATTTTCTATTATTTATTTGCGAACTAGGGATCTTTGTCACAACTATGATTTAATTTTCATTGTTTGTTGATAATTCTTCCGTAGCCAATCCGGAGTATCGGAAATTTACCTCTATGGGAATGTCCGAAATAGATCTACAGAAAGGAAAATTATTTGCCCTAATAAAAAGGTAATTTTCGTGCAAATGAAAGTTTATTTTCTATTAAATATTAGCGAACTAGAGATCTTTGCGTAAAGAATTTCATAGAAATCTCATACGTAACAGGTGCCGAAGGTCAACTGACTGAGGAAATTTTCAATCCAACCTGTGATCCGACTTCCAACTTCACCATTCACGCTCCGACTTCGTCGCAAGTTGGAAGTCGGATCTTCAAGTCGTCCCACTAAATATTCCGAATCGTACCACTAGTTGTCCAACTAATCCAACCACCCCACTCACGGTCCGATTTCAGATCCTACTGCAGAAGTTGGACCACTAGTCGGACCACAAGTCGGAACGTGAATGGCCTGCATTAGCAAGATAATGCCAAGAGTTGAAACTAGTTTTTTAAATAATTAAGAAATACGAAATATAAATAATGTACTTCGTATGTATATAAAAACAATGTTTGTAATTAAACTACTGCAAATTTGGAAACTGTAGGTACTTACAGCTATTAACAGACCACTGTACACTGCTTCTATATATTTCGGTTTATTATTTAAATTTACAATGTTTCTTCTCAAAAACTATAAAAATTGTGGAGCACAAAGTATTTCGACTTGTCTACCTGAAATTTCAGGACCGTTGACTAATATTTGTTTCATATTATTGAATGCACTTCTAGATTTTCTATTCTAACTCTAATTTTTTTGGTATAACCGTTTGTTTCATTACTGTTTGGCCCTAAATAGTTATAATTCTGAGCTCGTTTTATCGTCTTATTATTTACGTGCAGATTGATGTATATAATATTTTTCTTTGACATAACCATGCATTTTGTTTTCTTTATGTTTAGTGACAGACCAAATTCTTTACTCGCTACAACAATCTGATCTAAAATTCTTTATAGATCTGTAATATTTTCTGCTATTAATATTGTATCATCAACATATCTAATTTTATGTATGGGCAGGCCATTTATTTTTATGTCTGTTACTTCATCTTCTGATGCTTTTTTGAATATCTCCTCTGAGTATGTATTAAACAGTGATGGCGACAAGACACAGCCCTGTCTAACACCTCTTTTGATTTTTATTTTATTAGTTTTTAAATTATTTATTCTTATGACAGCTTGTTGTTTATAATACAGATATATATTTATAATAATATACCGTATGTCGATGTTATTTGTTCTCAGTAGTTTTATTAACGGATTATGTTTCACTGTATCGAATGCCTTAATATAATCTAGGAAGCACACATATATGTCCCGATTTACAATACCCTATACATACATATTGAAAAATGGACGCGCTAGGACGCTAAGAGAATCGTTCAAAGCAGTAAGATGAAAAGTATTGCTTTATCAAAAAAAGTCTATCTTTATTTGAAACAAACATAATCAAAAATATTTTAATATTTTAACAGTTCATTTTAATATTGTGTGAGTTTCTAGTAATAATACCAGAGCAGTATATGTGGTATTGCATAATTTTTAGTCTAACTTAATGTCATAATCAACCTAACCAAAAGGACTGTAGACCTAGAAGCGTGTTAGAGTAACTGGATGCAAGTCTCACAAGACAGTAGTATAAATCGGTGTCTACGAGCTCACAGGTTAGTTATTCGTTCAATTTAACCCCGCCAGTGAAACAAGCGGAAAAAACTAGTGGGGAGAGTTTTGTTTGTTTTTTATTTCTCAATGGTTATATTTATTGACAAAATATTTTTTTACATTCTTTTTTATTAAACTTTAAATTCTTTTACACAGTCTTATAAAATCATATTTCAAACTAAAGACATTGGTAATTTTCAAGTCAAATGACAAAACATAAGGGAAACGTATAAACGACAGTCTTTAGAAGGATTTTAGCCCAGAGTATACCCATCAAATTGGATCGAAAAAACCACTTTTCCGCGGCGGTCTTCAGCTGGAGCTGGCAGAAGTCTCTCAAAATCTGAAGAACTTACGACTGAAATGTCGTCTATCTGAAAATAAATCAACAATCGATTTTGGTATAATGCAAAATGCACTGAAAAATTTACCTTTGGCCCATAGAAGGCATAATTCTTCGCAATTCTCAGAAACTTGACCACATAATCTCCATCAGGCAGTTTTTCTTTTATAAGACCAACGAAAAATTTCAAGATCTTTTTGGTTGCGAATCTCACGAGCACATAATCGTCGACGACTGCAGCCCCTGTTGGCCTTTCGATCTCCTCGTTCTTTTCTTGGTGCATTTCATCACAAAATGTCTCGAAATCACAATCAGATTCGTCCTGAAGCTATAGTTCGTAGTCGGAACTGTCACTATCCAATTCCTTAGCAGACTTTTTCTTATTCTTCGTGGGTGGTGCAGAACATCCAGAACTTTCTCCTATTTCAAAATCTTCCAATCCAATACTTTTACCCGGTGCGATGTTAATTTTCTTTTTTCTTTGAGTTCTAGCATTCATAGAGTTCTAGAATTTTTGTTCCTAATACCCTGTAGAAATTGTAAAACTGTGTCGTTTAAACTGTTTCCAAAACTTTCATTTGATTCAGTATCATCAGTACCAGGAAATTTCTTTAATATTTGATTTCTGTCTAAAGGGTATATACCAGTTGCCCGAAAGCCACTTTGAAGGTTTTGTTTATCAGTTTCTGCGAATTTTAACATCAGCTTTTTTAAAAGTTTTGGAAACATCTCCTTTGGAAGACCAGTTGATCCGTTGCTAATTTATAATCGCTGAGTATTGCACGCTATTGTTTCTTCAGTGGTGCGAACACCGCGACATCCAGGGATTAAGCGATATGCGTAGTATTCGACGGTAAACATATGAATCGAATATTATTTTCAACCGACAGTCTGATAATTTGCTCAGAAAAATGGCTCGCCAAGTAATCCCTGATTAATACTTTGACTCCTTCTTCATGTCTCGTGGAATAAAGGAAAACAGAAGTAAACCAATTTAAAAATGTTGCAGAATAGAACCATCCATGAGCTGTTCGGTTGTATCTGGTTTTATCGGGTCCTCCTTCCGTACAAGATGTCCAAAGGTTTTTTGCTTTGTAGACTACATACAGAGGCAGCAGAACTTCTGAAGCGCTTCCACAAAACATCAAAGAAATGTTTAATTTTGATTGAGATAATAAACGTTCTGGGTATTTCACCCCTCTTTTAAAAAAGCATCTTGCAGACCCAGGATCATCCGATAAATTTGTCTCATCGAAATTGTATATACAATCGGGGGAAACTCCGTCTAGACGTTGCTCAAGGTTATCAAAATAAGCAATGAAAACTTCTCTAGTGGAAGAAGCTCTATTTGGGTTTATATTTTGAGATTTTCTTACACTTATTTCTCTGTTTCTTTTCAGAAAACCTTTAATCCAGTCGATACCAGGCAAATTATTTTTAAACTGCTTAACTCTTTTACCCATTGTATCCAAATGGCTTTTCATAACATGTCGTAAATCGTCGTGAGTCAAAGGAAAGCCCCATTCAGCGGTTTTCAAAAGCATCTTGACCAGTGCCTTTTCTTCGTCGTTGTTTAAATCTGTGGGCCTTCCGACGTCCTTCATTTTTTTGTTGTTCAGTTTGTTACTTAATGTTCCTTTTGGGATTTTGTATTTCTTCGACGTCTTGGAAAGTGATAACTGTTTTGTTTTAATTTCGCGGATTGCTTGATCCAAAGTATCAGAGGTGTAGTTTTTGTATGATCGACTACCCAACTTTCTAACGTAATCACGCATTTTGGACTGAGATTATCGCACTACACTACCTATTGCACCACAACTGAATTTCCTAACCACACAATGTTCCTACCGCCAAGCCAACCAATGTTATACTGAGCTCTGAGCTGAGTGAATTTCATTCAAATGATTTAAAACGAGGTAGCGTAACACCAGACAATAATATTTAGATGGAACTCGATTGACGCCGCCCAAGCACGTTCAATCCTGCCGTTCAATGTTACCCACGCTCCCGAAATAATTGACATATTTTTTGTATAAATTAATTAAAAATAGTCAAAACTCTAATCATTTACGGTATTATGTAGAATAAGGTTCAAATAGGTACTAGTATCGTGTAAAATTAGTCATGAGAAGATATCTTTTGCATATCGCCGGCTGCAGACCAAAGTTTGAGAGATTTTTTTTTACTACCTTTTATTTCAGAAACCATTTTTATTTCATTTTTGTTAATTTTGAGAACCTGTCAGAAATTTTATCAGGAAGTCCAAGAAAAACATATTTGCAACCCTCAAAAAAATATATCGGCCCCAAAAAAAAGTTTAGGCCAACTTATAGAAAAATATAATCTTCATTGCAAAACTGTTCAATGTAACCCTCGGGTTCAATTTAACTTCGTTATACGGTAATTTAAATATGATATTAGTTATCCCTAGCTGGAAAGAACTAATGATGCGCGCCGTTAATATTTCAGATGTTGTGTGTCTCTATACGTATCAATACCAATTGGGATGGAGTGGTAAGAAAATAAGAATCTAAGCCAGTTTTTTTTTTAGTTGACGGCCACTATAAATGCAAATTGTGCTTGAAATTACTCAGTGATATAGATTTTGTTACAGTACATAAAAGAAATACTTACTATATAATTTTTGGACGTTGTTTTGTGCTTAAAAACATAAAAATAAGACTGCATATTGAGCAAAGAGTGGTATTTGGCCGTTTGTATCATTGGAGCTACCGAACGAGCGTCTGATAAAATATCTAGTAATACATCTCTGGCCTTTATTGCTTGATTGGGTTCATACATTTGGTAACTGTACTTTTGGCCACTGTTTACGTTTGTTAGAATATCGTTAGCTCCATATTCATCTAAAGTCCGCTGCAAGCACACTTCCGGTTTCATTTCACAGCGAGATCGAAAGTACGTCCGAAGTTCTTGATCCCTCTCTTTTAAAAGAAGTCCATGAGAAAGACCAATTGGATCTAGGAGGTTAATACTTTCAATTTCATTTACGCCATATATTACTTCAAATCTGCAATAAAAACACAGGTCAAAAATATATAATAAAAATTCACTCATTGTTATATAGAAATAAATCCCCAAGATATTTTCTGATGTATAAGACATAATTTATTACATTTTTGTGTAACCTAATTAAGACTTCAGTATATTGTTTTATGCAACCATACTAATGGATGCAAACAAAAAAAGCAACACCTAGCAGGACAAATATTTTTTTAAATATTTATTAATGGAAGCATACCTTATAAAATTCTTATTATAGGTAATGGATTTTGACAAGAGCTATAACCTTGTAAATAACAGGTAAACTTGTGTACTGCATCGGCATGACTCATAGCTCTTGTCAAAATTCAGTACCCCTATTTGATATCATTATTACCAAATTTTCAACAGTCATCATCTTCATCAAAAACTTAATCATGGGTGGCTCCTCCTTGTTTTTCTATACATTGTGGTGGTATCATATTGCGAAATATTTATCCAGATTCTTTTTTTGGCATGCCACAAGTCTTCCAAGTTTGCTGGAGGGCGTGGCAATCGATTTAGGTTTCGACCTACCATATCCCACACATGTTTGATAGTGACAAATCTGCTGATCTTGATGGCCACTCCAAAGTCTTCATACCACATTCTTGTATGAACTCCATGGTTTCACGGGCAACATGAGGTCTTATGTTATCCTGTTTAAATATCGTATTTGGAATGGCTTGTAGGTAGGAATGTACAACCGGTTGCCGTATTTAACCAATATATCGTCGAGCTGTCAGAGTGCCGTTAACAAGAACTAGAGATGATCTGCTTCCCCAAACATATATAATCCCATACCATAATGCTTGGTTGTCTTGCCGTGTGACATTTAACAGCCAAGTCTCTTTCGTCTCTCACCTAGAAAATGTCTTACCCTTATGCAAGCTCTCAGAGCCACAAAAACACAACCTAGATTCATCTCTAAAGCAGAAAAAATTTCATTGGCCATTCCAGTTTTGCCGAGCTCTGGTGGTGACAAAGGTAACACCAAAAGCGGACGGTAAGCTCTCAGTCTCATTCCAAGTAATCTTTGATTAACTTTTATTCTTGAGACGCCCCTTCGTGTAGCTACAACTAAGTTATCTCTTACTTAATGTACAGTGTCCCATCTATTTCGGACAGTAAAAAATCTAAAATGGCGCAAATCACGGCCTTCCAATATTCTAGAAAGTCCAGACCCTTACGATGCCGATAAGTCTCATCATTGGACCACCTCCTTTAAACTTTTAACTCCATCGATTGATTAGCTTCAACTCTTCGTGAAATTTTCCGTAAACCAAAACCAGCCTCTTTCATGTCCACAATTCGTCCTTTTTCGAAGTCGCTTGAATGACAAAATTAGCATATGACTAAAAACTACAAATAATCTAAAGATAAATAAACAGAAATAAACTTTCTGATTATTTTTGCTGTTTTAAAGAAATCCGTAAGTTGAAAAAAGAATAATACTTAGGTATATTAAAGAAAAGATAGCGAGGTAAAAACTTTATCACATGTATATTTTTAGATAAGAGTTACAAAGAAATATTTTGATCCAAATAAATAACCGCATATAAAGTGTTGAATTTTTTTGGCCGTCGGTCTAGTAATACAGCTTTTACATTTATGTATTTATAATTTCGTCTTAGTTGGGTAAATCACGGATTTCGATTTTTTAATTTTTTTGCGTTTCTACTGGACCAAACTCTTTTTATTAAATTTTATATATTTTTTCAAGTTCAAATGTTTTTTATGTATTTTTTCAAGTGATCCGGAAAATAACAAATAACTTATAACAATGATACATTACAATTACTAATTAAGGCATTTTTTCAACAAAAGATTGCAAATAACTCAAAAAGGAAGAATTTTTTGAAAAATTACCAAAATTAGTAATTTTTGAGATTTTTTTTCCAACAAACTACTAAGTGAATTGCAATTCTACAAAAAACCTTTTAACTTTAAAATAAAATAATACCTAAAAATCTTTAAACCTTCTCATTAAGTACGAATATTTTGACAAGGGAAAGTGGTTTTTATTTTGCTAAAACCATAGTTTTAAATTTAAACAAAGATTTATAAGTACCGCTTATTATCTATCATATACAGCGATGTATTGCTCGAAAATTCGAAATGCATATTCTAAATATTTGGTTTCATGTTTTCAGAACGATAGAATCCAATTATCCTTCTGAAAATATTCTTACTTGTACTTGAATGCCTAAAGATTATAAAGTTTTTTTTATAGATTTGCAATTCATTTAGTAGTTCATAGAGAATCCAAGAATCACTAATTAAGATATTTTTTCAACAAAAATAGCAAATAACTCTAAAAGGAAGCCATTTTTTTCGAAAAATTACCAGCAAAAAATAGTATATTACTTTATGAGGCGGAGAAGCATGACTTTTCTTGACTAGAGGGCAAGTCAAGAAAATTCGCTTCTTTGCCGAATAAAGTATACTATTTTTTCTTCAAACGTAGCAATTTTCAACCATAAATAGTACAATTCATACGCTATTTTTACTCGAAATTAACTGTGACAACTATCAAAGTCGTCTAGATGTTAGAAATTAAAATAATTAAGTCGTTGGTGGGATTTGCGTCTCCCTGGTTACAGTTGTTTGACAGTTGTTTGCAATTAATAATGACAGCTTATTGTTGTTGCAACCGCAAGCGCAAATTTAGTGCGAAAATGGAAAACCTAAACGAACTTGAGTCCGCGGCTAATGATGCAGTAGCACGTTTGGGGCCCTCCAAGTCCGATAAGAACGATAATGCTCAAAAAATTTTAAACCCTCATGATTCGCCAACATCGGGAATGATTGCTGAAAGTTGTTCTCGACCATCAGTATCATCAACAATTACCAATGCGTATCAAGAGCCGGGAACATTTTTGCACGGTTTCAATTTTGAAAATGCCTCATTAACTAATTGTACTTTTAATATTACTATAAATAAAAATGATGTTTAATTGTTGTTAATAACATTTGTATTGTTGCTTTGTGACATGTTTCATATTGTTGCCATGACAACATTTTTCCCTCCGCCGTAAAGAAATGGGAAAAAAAACTGCTGCCGGCGGAGACATCAAACTTTGACAGGATCAAGTTAGATAAGTAATGTCATCATTATTTGACGTTTGAAGAAAAAAGTTATTTATTTTAATGAGATACGCCTAAAAAGATTACTTAAAGTTACTCGGGAAATTAGTTTTTTATTGTTAATAGCAATTTCCGGCCCACTTGAAAAATTAAAAAATATATATTTGAACTTAAAAAATATAAAATTAAGTAAAAAAATATGGTAATAAAATATGATAAAAAAAAATAGTCGGTTTATACTCTGCTTATAGGGGTAAACCGCTCGACGAATATTTTGCCTTTTGAACAGCAATTTAGTTATTATTTTTATACTCTTTTGTTTTGCACCATAAAAACATTATTCCCTATAGTAATGTAGTCGCATAATATACCATCGTTATTTATCATTCTGGGATGCAAAGGATAGTGATGCGCAACGTATAGCCTCTCCTATCCAAATGTCAACCTCACCTGCACGTGTGGTGATCTTGATTTTGTTCATCCGGTGCATTCTGCTAGATAACAAACGAGGCTCTGACGTCCGAGTGATTGCCGGTATAAGCAATACCCCACTTACCTACCAACGGCTTCGGGCGGATGAGTTGGTAAGTGGTAGGGCACTCTTTTGTCCTAGGGTTGGGAAACTGACCCTAAAGGCAGATGAACCGAGAACTAGGTCAACGGCGTAAGGATGTAGAAAGCAAGGAGAAACTACTACATTAAAGATCCATATAGATATCTCTTGTATATTTATCATGGCTACAGCTTTGAAAGTGAAGACTACTAATCATGTATATCGGAGTGCAAGATCCGGCGGAGGAGGAATAACAACACAGAACCACGGGGCCTCCCAGGTCGTTAGCAAGCGAAACCCCCGAGTAAAAGGAAAGGATGCGCATAGAAAAATTAAGCAGTTTATTAAAATATGCACCTGGAACGTCAATACCATGTACGAAGCAGGCAAAATTTATAATGCCATCCATGAAATGGAAAGACTGAATATCAATATAATGGGTATCAGTTAAATGCGAAGGCCTGATGGCGGAAAATGTCAAATAAACGAGCACCAAGTATATTACTCTGGTAATACAGAAGGTCAACATAAGCATGGCGTCGGAATAATTTTAAATAAACAAATAAACAAATACGTTACTAATTTTGTTTCAACGTCCGAGACATTCATGCTCATTAAATTGGATTTATTTCCAGCAAAAACCAACATAATCCAAATATACGCACCCACAGAAGGCAAATCAGATTAAGTATAGAGGCATTTTATTACGATTTAAGGAAAGTCCTAAGTAGGTGAAAAACCATTGAAGTAACGATAGTTATGGGTGACTTTAATGCCAAAATCGGTAAGGGTAGTTATGGTGAAGTAGTAGGTTCATGGGGTCTGGGTGAGCGAAATGAGAAAGGAGAACGCCTACTCACATTTGCTACGGAAGAAGAGCTGGTAATCACCAATACACTTTTCAAAATACCATACAGAAGGTTGTACACATGGCGCTCACCCGGTGACACGCCAGAAAATCTCATAAGAAACTAGATTGATTATATTGTAATAAATAAAAGATTCAAAAACTCAATAACATCAGTGTAAACCCACCCAAGTCAGACCATAACCCACTTGTCTCTAAGTTTCGCCTTATATTTAAAAAAATTCACAAACCTAATCCTATAAGATACCATCTCAGTCTAAGTCAGAAGTAGTTAATAATGTTGACACAGAAATAAATCACTTAGAAAACATTGGGAAGGAAATATTAGACCAATACCTGCGACCTAAAAAGACAGAAAAGAAAAAACCATGGATGACTGACGGTATATTACAGATGATGGACAGAAGAAGAGAATCCAAGCGGAAAGACAACGTTGCATATCAATTTCTAGACAAAAAAATAAAAAAATCTGTCAGAAAAG